GTGGTTAAGCATTCAGCTGCTAACCAAAAGATCAGCAGTTTGAATCCACCAGCTGCTCCTTGGAAACCCTAAGGGGTGGTTTGACTCTGTCCTGTAGGGTTGCTATGAGTTGACTCTATGGCAATGGGTTTGATTTTGGTTTTTTCCTGGGCAACCACTGATCTGCTTTCTGTCACTATAAAGTAATTAGCATTTTAAAAAATTTTATAGAAGTGGAATCATATAGTATGTACTCTTTTTTTTTTTCTTTTCTTTTTGGCCTGGCTTCTTTTATTCAGCATAATTATTTTGAGATTCATTCATCTGTGTTGTAGCATGTATTAAGAGTTTATTTTTATTGCTGTGCAGTATTCAGTTGTGTGACTATACCACAATTTGTTTATCCTTTCACCTGTAGATGGAAATTGTGTTGTTTCCACTTTGGGGCAATTACAGAGATGTTGTTATAAACATTCGTGTACAAGTTTTTGTGTAACATATGCTTTCATTTCTCTTGGTAAATACTTAGTCATGCAGTGGCTAGATCATATGATACATATATGTTTAACTTTTTAAGAAGTGGCTAAACTGTTTCACAAAGTGGGTGTACCTGTGGTTCAGGTGCTCTGTATCCTTGCCCTGGTGGTACAATGGTTAAGCACTTGACTGATTAACTGAAAAGTCAGCAGTTTGAACTCACCAGCCACTCTGGGAGAGAAAAGACCTGGCAATCTGCTCCTGTAAAGATTACAGCCTAGGAAACCCTATGGGGCAGTTCTGCTCTGTCATATAGGGTTGTTATGAGTCGAAATCTCCTTGACAGCACAAAATAACAACAGTAGATGTATAGTGCCTCACATTTTAAACTTTGGTGTACCTAACCTACTAGTAGCTCCTACTATATACCATGTCACCCGATTTCGCTTCTCTAAGTCTTTACTCATGTTATTCCTGTAACCTGGAGGCCTCTCTACCTATCCCTCATCTTAGTTAAGCAGTCTTCCTTAATAAACACCCAGCCCCATTTCCCCTGATCCTCCAGATTGCACCAAAATCTCTCGCTCTATATATATATGTGTGTGTGTGTGTGTGTGTGTATACACACACACATACACCCAACTCATTGCCGTCGAATTGATTCCAACTTATAGCAATACATCTGTTACTTTTACACAAATAACATGTGTTATATATATATATATTTTTCCAAACACAATATTTTAAAAAAAGGATAGCATGCTTACAAAAATACCTCATGAGGGGAAAGGTGTGGTTGGTAAAAAAAAAAGTATAACATGTACCTTATTTGTGTAAAAATCCAGTGTGTGTGTGTATATATGTATGTATGTGTGTATATGTATATATGGCAACTCAAATCGTTAAGTGCTGAGTTGCTAACTGAAAGGTTGGCGGTTTGGACCCACCCAGCAGCTCTGAGGGAGAAAGACCTGACAATCTGCTCCCATAAAAGTACAGCCTAGAAAACCCTATGGGGCAGTTCTACTCTGTCACATGGGGTCACTATGAGTCAAAATTGATTCAACGGCACCTAACAACAACAACATATGTATATATGTTTGTGTGTGTGTGTGTGCATGTATGTATGTACAGAACTCTGCGGATAATTTTTCTTCAAAGCTTTTTTGCCCTCTACTTGTTGGACTGTTTACTCCAGGGCAGAGCTTGGCCAACAGTAGGTTCACTGTAATGAGCAGCAGTGTCAGAGACAGGACTCAAGACCCCAAGAGTGGTGCACATTCCATGCTCCTTGAGAAATGTAGTGCTGTTTTGTTTAAAGAGAGCTGCTGTTACTCTGATTTTTATTTGAAATCTATTAATCAGACCAATGTGTAGCTGTAGTAGTATTTTTAGATGAAATGAAAAATTATTCTAATCCTCAAAACATCCCTCTAATGTAGGTGGCTAACTGTAAATGAAGTCAAAGGAACTCGTGAACTCCAAGGAAGTTAAACTTCACCTGAATGAGGGTCGGAGCCCTGCTGGCACAGTGATTAAGAGCTTGGCTGCTAAACAAAAGGTTGGCAGTTTGAATCCACCAGCTGTTCCTTGGAAACTTTACAGGGCAGTTCTACTCAGTCCTGTAGGGTCACCATGAGTCAGAATCAACTCAACAGCAACAACTTTTGGTTTGAATAAGGGTCACCCAATCAACCTTCACTTTATGATTTTAAGGTTTCCTGCCTCTGAGGATTTTAAGTATTTCGTTTTGTTTTTGTTGATGCTCAGGGAAAGGGCAGAGCTGAGAAAATATATTTCAAGCAGCTTCGGAGAAATGCTGGGTAATCCATAAGATTTGCAAGTATTTTAACTCCCCAGATAATAGTTTGATGTGGTTGTTCCAGGTTCACAGAAGGGAGGCAGAAACATAAAAAGAGTGAGCTGGTCTCCAGGGGAAATAGATCCTGGTAACAAGAGGACGGTAACACGGTTAAGTTTCAAACTCCAATTAGAAGTTGCAGCTATGGAATTTGGAGGAATTGTCACTGAGGCTTTATATCCTGTGGGTTTGGCATGCTGTGCACAGCCGGCAGTTCTTCATTTTTAACCCAGAGTAAAGTGGCTGCGGAGCGCAGAAACATCTGCAGCACCTTCTAGGGACTGCGGGATGTGCTGGAGTAATGCTTGGAATTAATGGGCAACTAAAGGAGGTAAAAGAAAGCACCAGAATCTGGGAAACCGTAAGGCAATCAGGCTTACTAATCAAAATTATTTTGAAATAGTCCTTTATAGCAGGTTATGTTCTAAAGTAAGGTAACTTCATCCGTCACAATCCCTTGAAGATCAGTGTAGTCATGGTAAGATGAGAAGGTTTAGGATTAAAGCCCATAACAGAGTGACCTGTGTAAGAATATAGTATAGAGCAGTGCTTCTCACATTCTTATGTGCACTAGAATCACCTGGAAATCTAGTTAAAAAAGGGGTTCTACATTTTGGTCAAAGATTCTATAGAAGAATTCTGATCAATAGGGGGAAAAGCAGAACAGAATTTCAAATTTTCATGGCATCTAGAATTTCTGGAGCTATTGATGCTGGATGAACCTCTGAAACTATCAACTGGAAATCATCTTTAAACCTTAAACCAAAAATATCCCCTGAAGTCTTTGTAAAACCAAACAACGTATTGTGGATTGAATTATGTCCCCCTAAAGTATGTGTTGTAAATCCTAACTTCTATGCCTGTGGTTATAATCCCACTGGGGAAGGAGTTGTCTTTGTTACCTAAATGAGACAGGATTAGTGTAGAGTGTGTCTTGAGTCAATCTCTTTTGAGACACAAAATAGATTAAACAAGTGAGCAGAGGAGGGATGGGGTAAGATAGGTGCCAAGACACAGGGAGATCTCCAAGGAACCAGGAAACAGAAGCTGAAGAAATAAGGACCTTCCACCAGAGCCAACAGAGAGAAAGCCTTCCCCTAGAGTTGGCGCTCTGAATTCAGACTTCTAGCCTCCTAAAGAGAAAATAAATTTCTGTTTGTTAAAGCCATCCACTTGTGTTATTTCTAGGTAACTAAGACAAATAGTTTAGCTTAATTAGTAAAGAATACCTACCTTTAGCACTGTGCTATTTTAAGAACTATATATGGGATCAAATGGATAACAACACTCAAAAGATTAGATAGGAAATTTAGGGGGCAGTGAGTTTATGTTAATGGGGGAGGAACAATTTGGAAGAGGAAGGTAGGAGTGGTTGCACAATTTGAAGAATGCAATCAGTGCCATTGAACTGTACATGTAGAAATTGTTGAATTGGTGTATGTTCTGCTGTGTATATTCTCAACAACAACAAAATAAAATATTAAAATTGAAAAAAGGGATTTCTAATTCAGTAGGTCTAGGGTGAGGCCCGAGATACTGCATTTCTAAAATGCTCCCCAGTAATGCTGATGCTGCTGGTCCTCATTGTTCTTGGGTAAATACCTAAGAGTGTAATGGCTAGAGCATACAGTCAGTATATGTTTAGCTTTTTAAGAAACGGCTAAACTGTTGTCCAAAGTGGTGGTACCATTCTGCATTACCACCTGCAGTTCTAGACCCACAGACCACACTTTGAGTTGCAAGGGAAGGGACTTTTTAAGTAGACATGTTGCTCTTTCCTCTTTCATAATGGGTCATGAAATTGCCCTGTAAAGCTCTTTGACAAAATAAATAAGTCTGTTGTTAATAGTCCTATTTATATTGGGAGGATATAGACGTCAAATTCTGATTTCTGTCTTCTGCTTTAAAAAAGTGGAGGGATAGTGGAAAAATTATTTGGAAAAACTCCAGATTATGTTATCTTTATTTAGGGTTTAAAATACCCGTGCCATTTATTTTGCTGATGGTCCTGATTACTGACTGAAGTTAAATTAAACCCAGTATGTTGCCTACACGCATCGAAAGTAACAGTGGCTTTCAAAACATTTTAACTAGAAATTCTATATAAGACAGCCACTTTCCTGGTTAAAAGTTGGAAAAAAAAGGGCTGTCTGATTTGGTTTTAGATTATCTTTAATCCAACTCTATCCTAGGTTTGGAGGCAGCTTCATGTCACAGATTAAGATATGAATTCTGAAGCCAAACTTGCTGGCTTCAAATCCTAGGTCTGCCACTTACTGACTGTGCCTGTGGACAAGCTACGTGTGCCATGGCTTACTCATCTGTACAATGGATCTGCATTTGATAAGTGTTATTAGGATTAAATGAGTTAACATTTGTGAAGCTCTAAGAACAATGCCTGGCACACATTCGAGCTATACAAGTGCCTGTTAAGTGTTTGTCTAAAATAAATATGTGTTAATGTTATGTTGTAGTTGCTCGGTGGTCCTGTGCAATCCAGAAAGCCTATTCTCTTGTTACCTACTAAAATAATATCCTACAAGACTTTCCCAAAAAGTAGCTGGGTCAGAGAGAGAGGACACTTCAGCCAACAAACAGGAGCCCCAAAATAAATTCATGAAATCTTTGAATTCATTAATTGTACTTACTTGATGAGACTTATCTCAGTCCTTTGGTTTTACAGTTGGTGATGTATATTGGTCAGGTGGCCAAGGATATCTTGAAGTGGCCCCGCCCCTCCTCGCCTCCTGTTGTGATACTTGAAAAGAGAATGATTGCTGAATATGGGATGCCATCCACCCATGCCATGGCAGCCACTGCCATTTCCTTCACCTTCCTGATCTCTACCAAGGACAGATATGAGGTAAGGCACCTGGTTCTTCTTCCTCCTTGGTCCAGCATTATCCATATAATGGTCCAGCAAACAGAGGTTTGCTGAAGTATTTTCTTTTAAAGGTGGTTTGAGAGAATTTGAGATTTATGAAATCAAGTCTAAGAGCTGCTGAAACCTATTGAGCCATCATTTAGAATTTCCTCATAAATAAAGTGACCATATAATTTAGCATCCAAACCAGGACACTATGAGAGGGAAGGTGTGCACCCTTAATAATGACACCAGGATAACAAGCATAATGTAAGCTCATCCTGGGCAAACCAGGGTGTGTAGTCTCCCCACCCAGAAGGCATTTCACCCTGAGCTGCCTAACAAGACAGCACTTGGGTCAGCAGTCATCCTCTGTGAGGAGCAGACTCGGGAGTTTTATGATCTTAGTAAATGAGCCTCCATGGCTGAGATGATTCCACCAGATCCCTTGCCAGACTCCCCAAGGCCTGCAGCAGAAAAGAGTCTATGCCCTGAATTAGCCTCTGAGGATGCCTCTACTTTTGGTTACGGCTCAGCCATTAGAGATGATAGTACCAAGTTTTTGTAGGAAAACATCTAAATGAAGCACTATATTTGTCAGAAGATTAATAACTGTTGAAAATAAAGAATTTCACTTACTTTAATTAATACCTGCTTCGATGCTAATAGGAGTCCTCGGGTGGTACAAATGGTTCATGTTCTTGGTGACAAATCAAAAGGTTGGTGGTTCGAGTCCACCCAGAGGTGCCTCAAAAGGAAGACTGGGCGATCTACTACTAAAAATTAGCCGTTGAAAACCTGGTGGAGCACAGTTCTACTCTGACACACATGGGATCACTTCGAGTTGGAGTCGACTGGATGGCTACTGGTTTAGTTTGCTTTTGGTTTTTAGATGCCAATTACAGTAAGACCCTTTAAAGTTTACATTATTACTGCAGCAAAGATTTTTTTGTCTTCTGTTTGAGAACTGGTTACTCTAATTTTTGATTACTTTTATAAATGTTACATTTACCCACTGGAAATTTAGATTGCATTGGATGTAGCAGTCTTGTGAGGTATATGGTAGTATTGTTTCACCCTGACCCTCTACCCCAGAAACCCAGGAACATGCCATATTTCAGGTTGCATAGAAACTGGAGAAGGAGCCCTGGTGGCACAATAGTTAAGTGCTTGGCTTAACAATAGTTAAGCAGCAAATAGAGGCTGATTGTAGGAAAACACACACACACATTTCTTCACACATCTCAAAAACACCTGGTTCTTTTTTAAAAAATTGTTTTTAGCTACATGATGTAGCAATTCTTATACGACCTGAGTTGTGTTATGAACTTCTTCCCTATTTAATTTTTAATGATAAATACATTTAGCTATTGAGTTTATTTGCCCAGAAACAGCTCTAAATATGGGTGTATTTATATAAACATATTTTCTGGCGGCGCAGTGGTTAAGTGCTTGGCTGCTAACTGAAAGGTTGGCGGTTTGAACCCACCAGCCGCTCCAAGGGAGAAAGACATGGCAGTCTGCTTCCATGAAGATTTACAGCCTAGGAAACCCTATGGGGCAGTTCTACTCTGTCCTATAGGATCTCTATGAGTCAGAATTGACTTGATGGCAGTGGGTTTGGTTTTTCAGAATGCCCAAACTCTAATTTCTGAATACATTAACTTGCTGATTTTCAACAACTTTGCAATTAAAATCGGAGGCCCAGCTAATGGCAAATAATGAGAAAAAACATACAACAAGGTGTTATTTTACTTGGAAAGAACACATTGGACTTGGACTCAGAAGTATGGCTTCTAGTTCTGACTCTGTCACTTAATGGCTGTATGACCTTGGGCAAGTCACTTTACCTCTCTGAGCTGCCTATTATGTGAACCAAATGGGACAATTGATGGGAAAGCATCTTTGTGAACCATAAAGTTCAATGCTAATGTAACTTATTGTTGTAATTAAGAGTTTCCTTATTTGAAAAATGGAGCAAATAATAGAAACTAGGGTTGTGTGATGAGTAAATGAGATGATGACTATAAAGTGCTTTGTCTATAATATAGATAGAGCTCATTTTCTTTATTCTTATATCTATGCAAGAATACACTTGAAGAATGTGGTTTATACCTCTAGATCGAATTAAGAAGCAAAATATCTTTGTGTTCGTAATATGGTTTAGCATTAGCCAGATTCCTCCAGCTGCTACTATTATCAACCAGTAAAAGTTGAGATTTAGTGGATTCTGAACTTTCACCTTGACATTTGTGAATAAATATGCCCATTATCCGTTTGGACCCATTGTCCCTCAGGAAGCCAATTGTTGCCTCGCTTTATCACCCCAGTATGTGACCGTCAGATTATAGCATTGCCCATCTACCTTACTCTTTGGTCAAAACTGTTTACTTCATGAATTCTAATCTAAGAATAGGTAGAAGTAAAAACTATTTATTCCACTAAAACTACCAGCACAACAATTGAGGTCATGAGTCTTAAAGCCAAGTTCCCTTGTTAGGGGCTGTTGAATTGGTTCCGACTCATAGTGACCCCATGTACAACAGAACAAAACACTGTCCAGTCCTGTGCCGCTCTCACAATTGTTATATTTGAGCCCATTGTTGCAGCCACTGTGTCAATCCATTTTGTTGAGGGTCTTCCTCTTTTTCACTGACCCTCTATTTTACCAAGCATGATGTCCTTCTCCAGGGACTAGTCCCTCCTGATAACATGTCCAAAGTACATGAGACGACGTCTCGCCATCCTCACTTCTAAGGAGCATTCTGGCTGTACTTCTTCCAAGACAGATTTGTTCGTTCTTCTTGCAGTCCATGGTATGTTCAATATTCTTTGCCAACACCGTAATTCAGATGCATCAATTCTTCTTCGGTCTGCCTTATTCATTGTCTAGCTTTCAAATGCGTATGAGGTGATTGAAAACACCATGGCTTGGGTCAGGCACACCTTAGACCTCAAGGTGACAGCTTTGCTTTTTAACCCTTTCAAGAGGTCTTTTGCAGCAGATGTGCCCAATGCACTACCTCACTTGATTTCTTGACTGCTGTTTCTATGGATGTTGATTGTGGATGCAAGTAAAATGAAATCCTTGACAACTTCAGTCTTTTCTCTGTTTGTCATGATGTTGCTTATTGGTCCAGTTGTCAGGATTTTTGTTTTCTGTATGTTGATGTGTAATCCATACTGAAGATGGTAGTCTTTGATCTTCATTATTAAGTCCTCTTCACTTCCAGTAAGTAACATTGTGTCGTCTGCATAACACAGGTTGTTAATGAGTCTTCCTCCAATCCTGATGCCCCACTTTTCTTCATATAGCCCAGTTTCTCAGATTATTTGCTCAGGATACAGATGGAATAAGTATGGTGAAAGGATACAACCCGGACACACACCTTTCTTGACTTTAAACCATGCAATATCTCCTTGTCCTGTTCGAATGACTGCCTCTTGGTCTATGTACAGGTTCCGCATGAGCATAACTAAGTGTTCTGGAATTCCCATTCTTCACAATGTTATCCATAATTTGTTACGATCCACACAGTTGAATGTCTTTGCATAGTCAATAAAACACAGGTAAGCATCTTTCTGGTATCCTCTGCTTTCAGCCAAGATCCATCTGACATCAGCAATGACATCCCTTGTTCCATGTCCTCTTCTGAATCCAGTTTGACTTTATGGCAGTTCCCTGGCAATATACTGCTGCAACCGTTTTTGAATAATCTTCAGCAAAATTTTAGTTATATGTGATATTAATGATATTGTTTGATAATTTCCACACTCTGTTGAATCACCTTTCTTTGGAATGAGCACAAATATGGATCTCTTCCAGTCAGCTGGCCAAGTAGCTGTCTTCCAAATTTCTTGGCCTAGATGAGTGAGTGCTTCCAGCGTTGTATCCATTTGTTGAAACATCCCAGCTGGTGTTTTGTCAGTTCCTGGAGCCTTGTTTTTCACCAGTGCAGTGCCACTTAGACTTCTTCCTTTAATACTATTGGTTTTTTATCATATGCTACCTCCTGAAATGACTGAACATTGACCAATTTTTTTTGGTATACTGATTGTGTGTATTCCTTCCGTCTTCTTTTGATGCTTCCTGCGTCAGTTGATATTTTGCCCTTAGAATCCTTCAGTATTGCAACTTGAGGCTTGAATTTTTTCTTCACTCTTTCAGCCTGAGAAATGCCGAGCATGTTCTTCCCTTCTGGTTTTCTAACTCCAGGTCTTCTCATATTTCATTATTTTTACATTTCATGCTTTGTCTTGTCGAGCCACCCTTTGAAATCTTCTGCTTAGCTCTTTTACTCCTTCATTTCTTCCATTCGCTTTAGTTACTCTGTGTTCAAGAGTAAGTTTCAGAGTCTCTTCAGACATCCATTTTGGTTTTTCCTTTCCTTCCTGTCATTTTAATGACCTTTTGCTTTCTTCATGTATAATGTCCTTGATGTCATCCCACCACTCATCTGGTCTTCGGTTATTAGTATTCCAGACGGCAAATCTGTTATTGAAATAGTCTCTAAATTCCGGTGGGATATATTCAAGGTCATATATGGGCTCTTGTAGACTTGTTTTAATTTTCTTCAGCTTAAACTTGAACTTGCATAGTTGCAATTGATGGTCTGTTCCGCAGTCAGCTCTCCGCAGTCAGCTCTGGCCTCATTCTGACTGATGACGTTGAGCATCTTCATCATCTCTTTCCACAGATGTAGTCAGTTTGATTCCTGTGTATTCTATCTGGCCAGGTCCATGTGTATAGTCACCATTTATGTTGTTGAAAAAGGTATTTCCAATGAAGAAGTCATTGGTCTTGCAAAATTCTATCATGCGATCTCCAGCGTTGTTTCTGTCACCAAGGCCATATTTTCCAATTACTGATCCTTTTTCATTTCCAACTTTCGTATTTCAATCACCAGTAATTATCAATGTATCTTGGTTGCATATTTGATTAATTTCAAACTGCAGAAGTTGGTAAAAATCTTCAATTTCTTCATCTTTGGAATCAGTGATTGGCAGGTAAATTCAAACAATAGTTGTAGGCATATGGATAGTATCCTATCAATGACAGCATACACTCCAGGATAAATCTTGAAATGTTCTTTTTGACAATGAATGTGATGCCACTCCTCTTCAATTTGTCATTCCTGGTATAGTAGACCATATGATTGTCCAATTCAAAATGGCCAATACCAGTCCATTTCAGCTCACTAATGCCTAGGATATCTGTCTTCAAGTGTTCCATTTCATTTTTGACAACTTTAAAACTTTTCCTAGATTTATGCTTCATACATTCCACATTCCTATTACTAATGAATGTTTACAATTAGTTCTTCTCATTTTGAGTCGTGCCACATCAGCAAATGAAGGTCCCGAGAGCAAGACTCCATGCATGTCATAAAGGTCTCTACTCTGAGGAGGCAGCTCTTACCCAGTTGTGTTTTGAGTGCCTTCTGACCTGCAGGGCTCATCTCCCAGTGCTATATCCACTGCTATTCATAAGGTTTTCACTAGCCAACTTTTTAAGAAGTAGAACACCAGGTCTTCCTTCTGGTGTGTCTTAATCTGGAAGCTCCACTGAGACTTGTCCACCATGGGTGACCCTCCTGGTATTTGAAATACTGGTGGGATAGCTTCTGGCATCACTGCAACACACAAGCCACCACAGTACCACAGACAGACAAATGAGTGCATCAGGTCTGCTGTACGCCTCCATCTGATCTGGTCAGGTTCTCCAGAAGTCATCTCGAACCAAATCAGGTATGCACATCAAAGCCTTTACCAATATCTTTCTGTATCCCTTATTAGATTGCAAAGATGGAATTTTACTATTTTACCAGCAAGGAATTAAAATGCATTATGAATTCTTCGTATCTTCAATTATGAATAAAAATTTCCTGCTAGGAATTTTAAAAAAATAGTTGAGGTCATGAGTCTTAAAGCCAAGCTCTACGAGGTCTTATTTGCATATTTGTATGTTATAAACCATCCCCCTGTACCCTCATCCCTGAACTGTGTTCCTAGGCTTTTCTCCCTTCCCTTTCTTCAGTTTCCCCCATTTTAAAAATGGTTTTAGATATTCAGGTTGCTGATCCAGGGAATGTGAGATTCATACCAGTAATGATTGGATAATGAAGTCTTTTCCAGCATCAAATTATATATGTCTGAGCATGGTCTGATATCCTTTTTTTCTCTTCTCCCTCCCTGCAGTATCCTTTTATTTTGGGACTGATGGTGGCTGTGGTGTTTTCTACCTTGGTGTGTCTCAGCCGACTCTACACTGGAATGCACACAGCCCTGGTAAGGCTTTGTTTCAGAGCTTGTGGTGATTACTTGAATAGTATTATGGTCAGTGTGTTGGTAGTTCCTCACACTACTTATGTACAAAATCATTTGCATGCTTAATTACATTTCTCAACATGCCAATGAGTTGCCATTATTTTATAGTGCATGCATAATGATAGCAGTGAATCGTGGAGATACCGTCGATGAGTCTGAGCTAGGATAGACTCTCAAAACTTGGAAGATCGGCGAGTACAGTGACCAAGACTTAGTTGAATTTACTTTCATGCTGGTTTACCAATGATGCAGCAATCAGTGCAGAAAATATGCCCAGGATCAAGGGTGCGAGGGCATGGACGCAGTTCCCCACTTAGTTCATCACAGATGTGTCTGAAATTCAGGGGTCTTAGTGCCCTTGCTGGGTAAGGGTCTTGCAGGTCAGAAGAGCCCTGAATCATGGGCTGTACCTTCCATACTGTTTTAGCCTGGAAGTGCTGGTGGGCACAGGGAGGCACGTTAGCATTTAAAGATCTGTCTACCCTTTTACCATATTAGGAATTTTTTTCCTGGGCTGCCACAGTTAAGGCAGTTAAGATGACTTCAAATTCTATATCCTAGTGCATTGGCTAGCTGCCTTGAAGTTCCAGAGCATAAGGCTGGCCGTGTGTCTTAAGTCATCTAGTGCTGCTATAACAGAAATACCACAAGTGGATAGCTTCAACAAAGAGAAATTTTTTCTCCCACACTCTAGTAGGTTACAAGTCCAAATTCAGGGCATCAGCTCTGGGGGAGGGCTTTCTCTGTCAGCTGTGGAGGAAGGTCCTTTTCATCAGTCTTCTCTTGGTCTGGGAGCATCTCAGCACAGGAACCTCAGGTCCAAAGGATGTGCTCTGCTCCCAGTGCTGCTTTCTTGGTGGTATGAGGTCCCCAACTCTCTGCTTGCTTCCCTTTCCTTTTATCTCTTGTAAAATGAAAGGTGGTGCAGGCCACACTCCAGGGAAACTCCCTTTACATTGGATCAGGGATGTGACCTTAGTAAGGGTGGTGTTACAATCCCACCCTAATCTTCTTTACCATAAAATTACAATCACAAAATGGAAGACAACCATACAATACTGGGAATCATGGCCTAACCAAATTGATACACACATATTTTAGGGGACATAATTCAATCCATGACACCATGGTTTATCACAGGGGCACCATTTATCATCATACCTGGAACGAGAGAGATTTCTTTACAAAGAAATAGGCCCTTGCTAATTGTGTTTCTCTCAATCTTGAAGCTCAAAAATGACATTAGCAGAAGCTCTCCAAGGGAAAAGCCACCCTGCACTGGCCTCCCTGGTGCCTAGTGCTGGGTATCACGAGAACGGTGGAAGCATGGGAGAGGTGAACAAATTTAGGGAGAGTATTTGTCAAAACAGGTAGAGGCAAAGAATTGGGAGGAAGTAAGCCCCAGAGAAAGAGGGCCTGTGGCTTCACGAGATTCTACTGGAGAGCACTATGCACTTTCCTCTTGTGAAAGCAAACCCTGCCTCACAAGGAAGCTAGGGAGGGTCTGAAGGTTCTGGTGTCAGGATTGGGACTTGGGTGAGGCAGTGAGGTGCAACATTTAAGGAGTGCCAGAAATCCCAGTAACCAAGATAAATAGCTTTACTGTGATATTTTTAAAAAATCAAAATTAATGCAAAAAACGTCCACTATGAACAAAATATCAAAATTTAAAATAAAGACAAGATTTGAGCCTACATTTGTACGACCGGTCCTCACTTGCCCCACCCTAAACTGCACCCTAAATGGAGTAGAGTTCGGGTGAAAGTGGGGCCCAGATCTTGGAAATCCTAAAGGCACAGTTAGGAAGCAGTCTTATTATCCAGCCTATCCGGGCACGTCCTTGCTGTTCCCCATTCCATTTCACATTGCATCTGGTGGCTTCCTCCAAGAGGAGAAGGGAGAAGAGGAAGCATGCATTCTGAATTTGCTATACTATTGCTTTGCTTTGCGTTATAAAGAGGCTCTCTCCCAATACGTTAATTGAACTTTCTCGGGTGTTTTGGCGCTTCTTTTATCCGGAGCTACTTTTTAATATCAGTAGGTTTGAATAAAAAATGATCTTGGGAACTCAGGATAAAATGTGAAACCAAAGTGGGAACAAGAATGTGGAGCTATAGATGTGAATAGAGAGTATACAAAAACCACGTCAGAAAAAAATATATAGGTACATTTATTTTTTCTTCTTTTTAATGTGGACTATGGGATATGGACGAATATTTGTGGGGAAGATAGATTAGACCTCTCATTCAGACATAAGAAATGGTACAGCCACCCTTTGTGGAGAGACTTTTCCAGAAGAAACTGGAGCAAGGGCCATGGCAACTGTTGGACTCCTCACCACCATCCTGGCCCACCGGGGGCCAGGGCTTCTTTTATACTCATGTTCTATTTCATAAACATTTCAGACCCTGACTCAGGTCTAGGCCACAAGTCAGGCTACAGGGCCAGAGGCAAGGCCCAGCATACGATGGTGCATAGTTTCTAGGAGCTGAAAGGAAGAGCTGGTTTAAATAGTAGGATACAGTTAAATTATGGATTTAGGTAAAGTCTTCTTTATTCAGCAGCGACTTAAAAAGCTCCTATGAGGATCTTTGAGACAATCGTCCTGAGACACTCTTTAAACCTGCGCCAAGCCTGTCTCCTGAGATCACCTTTTAGTGAACCAGCAGAGTGGCACACAAAATAAAGGATATTATCTGTAAGATTGGTGCTGTACTTAAAAAGCATGTGTATGAGACCAAAGGTCAACAATTACTCAAAAGGAAAGATGAGAAGATAAGGGGGCAGGGAAACTAGATGCTGGAAATGGAACAAACAGAACGCAATTAAAAAGAATGTTGACACATTATGATAAATGTAACTAATGTCACAGAACAATTTGTGTGGAAATTGTCAGATGGGAACCACCTAACTTGCTGTATAAACTTTCACCAAAAACTCAATAAAGTATTTTAAAAAACTCCTATGAGGTGCCATGCTTGGTGCTAGATCTGAGAGATACTGAGGTCAATAGAACCTTGCCCCATCCTCCTGGGTCTCACTGTCTGTGAAGGAGTCAGATAAATAAACTGTGATTACTTGATATGCTGAGTACTATAAACCTGTCGCTGTTGAGTCAATTCCAACTCATAGCAACCCTACAGGACAGAGCAGAACTGCCCCATGGGGTTTCCAAGGAGTGGTTGGTGGATTCGAACTGCCAACCTTTTGGTTAGCAGCCAAGGTCTTAACCACTGTACCACCAGGGCTCCTTTGAGTACTATAACTAGCATTAAATGCAAGGTGTTGTGAGAGTGAGAGGAAGTGTCATCTAATTTGGGAAGACCTCACGTATGAACTGACTTTGTAAGTGTCTGTCTGTGTATATACATACACATTTATTTAATTGCGTAAGTTGTAAATGCTCAATTTTTAAAAATTTCAAACAATGTGAGATCAAAAGGGAAAGCCACTTCCTACAACAAAGCCATTCACCAGAGGTAAGCATTGGTGGCAGGTGGGGAGTTTAGGAAAGACAGGGCATTCCACGTAGCTGGAACAGCATATGTGGTGTGCAGAGGAGAGAAGGGCCACAGCTAGTTTCCAGAGCAAGAGGCAGGTCAGTGACACAGAAGCAAAAAGCACATGGCTTGAGTTGCAGCCAGAATAATAACCAAAGAACCAGTTGCCGCTGAGTCGATTGTGACTCTTGATGACGCCGTGTGTTCAGAGTAGAACTGTCCATGGGGTTTTCAGTGGTTGTGACCTTTCAGAAGCAGATTGCCAGGCTGTTTTTGAGGTGCCTCAGGATGGGTTCAAACCAGACAACCTTTCAGTTAGTCGAGTGCTTAACAGTTTGTGCCACACAGGCCTTCCTGGCCAGAATAATAGGCAGGGGTATTTTGGTTGGCCCTGCTAAGGAACTGAAACTCTTTTCTATAGATGTCTGGAGGCAGTCGCCTGGTCAGATTCAGAAATGATATCCTGGCAGTGGTGTGAGAACAGATTTGAGAAATACTTAAGAGCCAGCATTGATTGGGCTTCGTGACCACCTGGCTGAGGGCGTGTGGTACAGAAGGAGCTAGACTGGTGCCAAAATCTCTTGCTTGGGCAGCTTGGTGGATAAAGCACTCTTCCCTGAGGTGGGGCCAGAGCTGGTTTGGCAAGGATGGTGACACCACCATGCCGATAGAGTGTCTCACTGTGCTTTACTCGCCTACCAAGGAGTCTCCCTGGAGCCTGTCAGCAAAGTCATGACATCAGTAGCAAACCATTCACATCTGACATGGAGGGATTTCTTTTTTTTTTTTTTAATTTTTTTATTGTACTTTAGATGAAGGTTTACAGAACAAATAGTTTCTCATTAAACAGTACACATGTTGTTTTATGACATTGGTTAAGAACCCCACGACGTGTCAACACTCTCCCTTCTAGACCTTGAGGACCTTTTTTTTTTTTTTGGTGAAAATATACATAGCCAAAGTTACACAATTTCGAAAGTTTCTACATGTACAACTCAGTGACATCAATTACATTCTTCCAGCTGTGCTGCTATTCTCACCATCCTTTTCCAAATTATTCCATCACCATTATCTTCAACTCACTATCCCCTAGGCTTCCCATCAAACATTTTGAGTTGCTGTTGTCAATTTGATCTCACATAGATAATTCTTTTTTTTTTTTTGTGCCTTAGATGAAGGTTTGCAGAACAAATAGTTTATCATTAAACAGTTAGTACACATATTGCCCTTTGACAATGGTTAACAACCCCATGACATGTCAACACTGTCCCTTCTCAACCTTGGGTTTCCTATCACCAGTTTTCCTGTCCATGGAGGGATTTCTTAACATGTGCAGTTAGCAAATGATTAATCTCCAGGAATGTCTCTTCCCCCTTATGCACTGGAAGCAGGCAGCGACCTGAATGATGCACTAAAGTGCTGTGAGCAACATACCTGTTTCTGACTCTGACTCATGGCAAC